AATAGATGCTATTTTTTTATATCATTGAAAATTCCTAACTTCAATAAACCAAAGGTAATCCTTGATATCTAACTCACATGAAAATTAGAAGATTTTTCCCCACCAGTAGCAAGAGCAGCAGTAGCAATTCACTCTAGCACAAGACTAGCCTTACATAACTCACATGAAATCAGAAGATTTTCTTGTGAGTTAGATAATTACAAAACTTTCCGAATGCCATACTGAACTTAATTAAAATAAATCTCATATTACAGTAAAACGAAGGACTTCTGCTATAAATACTAAACTCTGAATTCATTCATGATTTTGGTATTAAAAAAGATAACATAGCAAATGAAAAAGCAAAACTGTAAGGCATAATATAACAAATGACAAAGGGGACAATGTCCCAGTGTAGTGCTATAACATGGGTCTTTAACTAAGAGGCACAGGAGGTGTAAAAGAGCAAACAATAAACAATTTTTTCTGGAGTGTGAAAAAATACTATCAGGATTCTATCAGTCTCCAGTATTATTCTCTCTAAATATTTTAAACATTATGCCAATGAAAAACCTAAATCCATATAGAAACTTTAAAATGTTCATGTTAGGAGAGAAATTCTCAATCACATTCCAGGTTCCTGAGGCTTATCTATCTACTTATAGTATAAAAACATTTCCAGTCCAGTTTGGTATTTTTTATCACATCTAGACCATCCAGAACTGCCAGAGGATGACTTTCTTGAAGTATTAACTTGACTAGGGTATAGTGCCCAGTTATTCAGTCAAACTTTAACCTAGATATTGCTCTGAAGTTATTTTGCTGATATAAAATAACTAAAGGCACTAATCAGTTTGAGTAAGGGAGATAATCCTAGAAAACCTGGGAGGGCATAAAGGAATCTTTTGGAAGGGCTTAAGAATAGGGCTGAGGTTTCCCTAGAGAAAAGAAACTCTGTCTTCGCCCACAGCTTTGGCATGTGCCCGCAGGAGTTCCTGCTCATGCTCTCTCCTTTCTGACAGCCTGCCATAGGGATTTCAGTCCTCCTTAGCCAGCCCCACAATCATTCAAGACAATTCCTTGTAGTAAGTCTGTGAATAGATGGATGTATATTTCTCCGTGTGTGTTTGTGTGTGTGTGTGTGTGTGTGAGCAGGTGCGCATGTATAGCCTTCCTGCTCTGCTTCTGTCACTGAATTCTAACTGGTATACACCACAGAATAAAATATGAACATGTAAGTAGTAGTTCTTAGACTTACTTGGGAAAACACTTTATATTTGCAGATATATAGGTCGCTTTACCTAATCCTCCTTTTAAAACTGCAGTAGGTCAAGAGTAGTACGATACTAACTCATCTTCTGACAACTACTATTTTCTGTAAGAGCCAACATGGAAAGAAACTAATTGTTTATTTCTCTAGACCACAAAGAACAGGTCTGGGAATTCTTCATGACATAATCTAAACCTTTCAATATTGAAGATCCTTACATAAGAAATATTATGAAATGCAAATAATATTAGGAACTTGCTTGAGTTCAATGATTATAACAATTTGCTTTGGGGGCGGGGGGGGCGTTGGCAGTTTTTGGCCAGAGCTGGGTTTGAACCTGCCATCTCCAGCATATGGGGCCAGTGTCCTACTCCTTTTAGTCACAGGTGCTATCCCCAATTTGCGTTTATTTCTGTGCTTAGAAGGTTGCTGAATACCCCTAAGAAAAAACTCTACATGCTGAATTACAGGATGGCACTATAGTTACATCAGTTAAAGGGCTACTTAAAGAGCATTCCAGCATAAGAACCACCACATAAAGATGGGCCAAAGCAAAGAATAAAACAATCACAACTAGCAACATCATAACTACTCCAATAGAGGAAACACAGATTGACTTTACCCAAAAGCAGAGTACCCAAGAGGTATAGCTCCACTTGACGTATAACTGGCTGTTCTTTAATTCTGATCAAGCAAAACTCCCAGCAAGCCCCAGCAGTAGCAAAAGCAGCAGTAGCAATTCACTCTAACATAAGACTGTAGCCTTACATAACACTCACTTTCCCAGGAAGTCCCAAACAAACCCCCCTGATGGTACAGGCACAGAAACCTGGTGTGGAGGGTACAGTTTGCGGGAAACTGGCTTTCTGAGAAACAGCATGGCCAAGGGGCAGAGGGAATGGACATATATAAACAGACAAGACACCAAAAACCCCAGTGGAACAGGACATGATAAGACAAAAAGAAAGATGACAAAACTCAAATAATAAATTACATGGAGACAGACACCCACACGTAGGAAATAGTGGAATGGCAACACAAGAAGCAAACGGTTAGTAAGAAATACAGGAGTCATACACATGCAAATCAGTACTAAATCTGGGAACTAAAGGTATAATATAATCCCAACTATCACTGACATGGAAATACACATACAAATCGGTACTAAATCTGGGAACAAAAGGTATAATATAATCCCAACTATCACTGACATGGAATGTATTGATTACCTTGTATAATAAGCAGAGCTTATTTATAAAAATGTCTTTCAAGGGTATAAGTAAAACTAAAATCTACCTTAGTTTCTAAGCAAGCAACCCACAATACTAAAGACAGCCACTTCTGCTTAAGACATTGGGTCTTGGCTGGGTGGTTATGCCTATAATCTCAGCACTCTGGGAGGCCAAGCAGGTAGATCACTTGAGCTCAGGAGTTCGAGACCAGCCCAAGGAAGAGCAAGATCCTGTCTCTACTAAAAATAAAACAACTAACCAAGTGTAGTGGTTCACACCTGAAGTCCCAGTTACTCGGAAGTCTGAGGCTAAAGGATCTCTTAAGCCCAAGAGTTTGAGGTTGCTGTGAGCTCTGATGCAAGGGTGCTCTACCAAGGGCAACAGAGTTAAGACTCTATATCAAAAATAGTAATAATAATAATAAGAAGAAGACATTGGGTCAATATGGGGCAAAAATATAAATCAGAGGAGTAGGAAACACTCAAATAACAGTTGCCAGTAAATCTTCTAAGAACATAACTAGTGTTGGCAGAACAGAAAGAAAACTGAGTTGAAATTTAAAAACCCCATTCCCTATTCCATTAGCTCTGGCTCATATGTAACTTCAAGGATAACTTCTCTGGTTCTTGGTTTCCTCTTCCGTAAAATGCAACGGTAGAGCTCTTTCACAAATTCTACGATTCTACTATTTATTCAATATTTTAACTGTGTTACTGAGTAACAAATTACAATGTTGGTAGCAAAAACTTGAGTTGGGAAAGCTGTTTCTTTTATTTCAGTAGCCACAAAATTGTGTCAAATCCTAAAACAAAATTAAAACCCCTGCATGACCAGAGGACAGAACTGCATAGTGCTTTTTCCAACTTATAAGAGTTATATTCTGTGGAAAAGAGTAGATCACTTATAATTTTCAAAATATGAGAAATATAGTGGTTAATAAAAGCTGCTATTTGGGGCACACTTTGGATAGTAAATATAGACTTTGTCCTATTTCTTATTTTCCTTCAATTCACATCCATCTCCCAAATCAGTATTAGAGCCAAAAAAGAACCAAAAGCATTTTTCAAGCAAGATGCTTGGAATAGCAAGCAATACTTTCAAATGTTGATTTCTAACACAAGAATTCAAACCATAAAATGAAACTTTCTCAAGGCATTTCTTTTCTGAAATATACTTAGTGGGAAGTCATTGTATTTTAACATCTCTGTGGTGCTGCTGCTGATTTCAGGCCCACATGAAAGCAGAGAGAGGTTTGTATTCATGTATGAAAGGGCTGCATATGTGTATGCAGCCCATGAATAGGTGTGTTTGTGTTGCAAGAAAGGGTACAGTGTAAAGACGTACAAAAACACACATAATCTTGTGGCTCTGGTAATTTTTAAATTCTCATTTAAAGAATTATATTCAGTGTCTTATTCAAAACTAAAGAAATGAATAGAGTTAATGTCAAAATAAGTGAGCAAGTAATGAGCCCACATGATTCACACTTTCAGAACAGTGAAGGAAAACTGTGAGGGATGGACTTTGTTGTTTTGGTTTCTTAAAAATTAAAATTCTATAGGTATAGAACAGGAGAAAATAACTTCAGGGAAAATACATGTATCAAGTCTACCAGTAACCCCCAAAATGTAAAAAATTTATGGAAACAGCCTACTACTTCTGAGCCTTCGAGAGCATGGAAATAAATTATTCCTAAGGATCACTCCTAAAAGAGCCACATGATTGGTGACTTCCTTCCGTCACTGTCAGTCTTTCTGGCTATTCAGAAGAATATGGGTAATTAACAAAGCTATATTTGTATATACTTTGGGAGTCATGTTAAACATATGGGGTAAAAGATGAGGTTAAGAGATACATGCTTAATCTTTAATTAAAAATAGTCTAATAAGAGAAAAAATACCCACCAAATTATAAGAGGGTTATGTCTGGTTGTAGCTATCAAAACACAGCATATTCTGAAGAACTGAGTCATAGCTCCATAAAAATCATATTTAAGTCACCCAAATTATCTTCAATATCCCTCCTTCCAATTTTGATCTATGCACTAAGGTAATAGTTTGCTTTTCAAAAGTATGTGAAAAATCTAAACATTCATAGCCCAAAAGAGCATTAACTCAACAAAAAAGGTCTAAACCAATGATAAAAAATTAACTCGTTACACTTAAAGATCATTTCCTCATTGTATAGAGAAATAAATAATTCAAAAGCCAGTAAAATCACTCTTGATTAGCCAGTAAGAAACTTTAACTCTTAATGAACACTTTCTTTTTTTGTCAATGATGTTGAAGTCCATACCTTCCCAATTTATTCCTTCTCCATCTTGCCTTTTAGATACTGCAACAAAGAATTTACACTGACTTAGAATAAAAAGTAGATAATAAAGAAATATCAAGCACTCTGGAACTTAAATCCAGAGCCGGATATGTCAAAAAAGTATATCCCCCCAAAATACAGTTTTAAAACCATGCTTTTGCTTTCCTAACCTGTTATAAGTCCCATTCAGTTTCCCCTCTCCTTACCTTTCCAACTCGGCTATCTTCTTGTCTTTGTCATTCTTCTCATTTTCCACCTCCTTCAAGATTTCCAAGAGGCGGTCAACTTCTGTCTGAGCTTTGCTGGATTCATCTTTGTACCTGGTAATCTCTCTCTCCAATTGTTGTATTCGGTCATTCATTTCTGGACTGGCTCTGGCTTCCAATGTAGCCTCATGTGCCTACCAAGAAAAATGTCCCCATTCTGTCAGATATACATGTAGCAGCAATGGGCAAACCATGTCCCAAAGAAATATGCATATTCCAATTTAAAAAGAGTAGTATCAAATATCTAATAGCTAGTCTTCAATTTATAAGGCTTTATCCACTTAAGAATTACATAAACAAAAGATTAGTAATAAATGGAGAATTATATTACATTCCAAATGGATTTGCTTCTTTTAAGAATTTTTTTATTTCAGAATATTACAAGGGCACACACATTTTGCTTGGATAATTTGCTTCTGTACATTTTACATCAAAGTTTGATGTATGCCCTTCACCCAGAGAGTGTGCATTGTACCAGTTAGGTATGAATTTACCCAACCCCTCCTACCTACTTGATTTCTGTTGAGTTTTACCCAAACGGATTAGTTGTTCAAACCAATACTACATATATCTCTGGATAGTCATTATTAGGCCAAATATCATCACTTCTCAACCTTTTGGCTAAGATCAAGTGTAGGACAAAAAAAATCGTAATCCAAGAGATGCTCCAGAGTTTAGTGAGATATACTAATAAGCCATTGGACTGCAAGTAATCTTTCCAAGAAAACATCAAAGGCACCACCAGGGACTTGTGCTGATCTGCTACTACAGTGCTGAAACCAAATTGCCAATAGGCCCTAACTTCTATTTCCATCTTGTATTTCTGCTTTATTGAACATGTGTGAATCATGTAGCCTGGAATATCGAGAACCATACAGATACAACAGGTGTGTTACTACAAGTTACCTTAAGAAAATGGCTATACCACACAGATATTTCCCTCATGCATGGATTCAGGAATTTACAAGATAATATGAGACAGACAAATGAAGTCAGAAATCAAGACCCATACTTAGAATTGAGAAAAGAATTTTTGTTCAGGATCCTGGTATAAAAGTCAAGTAATATTGTCATCCATTCTGGAATACTCCTTCAATAATCAAAAACTAATTTTCACGTCCTTCATTGTCCTCCTGAATCTCTAAAGCCATTGACATATAACATATTTAACGAGAATACAAAGGCCAAGAAGTTTTTTCTTATATAAAAGACAACAGGACATATTTAGTGTCTTAAGATGGCTTAAAAAATTTTTAAAGGAACAAACAGATTCTCAGGAAATACTTTTGAAAGCTCCAAAATAAACTATCTGGAATAAATGGGAATGTTTATATAAACTGAACTGAAGGCTTTGTGAAAGTAATAGCTATTCTTTTAAGGTAAGTCCTTTGGCATACTTGTGAAATATAGTTTAAGAAACAAAAACTATACAAGTTTGGGAGGTAAAAAGAGATCTCAGTTCTGTATTGTTTAGTGTCTAAAATCAGTTGTTTCACATTGTTTTTGCCAGTTTCTGAGTTGTTGGATTTTTTTTGAGACAGAGCCTCAAGCTGTTCCCTGGGTAGAGTGCCGTGGCATCACAGCTCATAACAACCTCCAACTCCTGGGCTCAAGCAAGTCTCCTGCCTCTGCCTCTCAAGTAGCTGGAACCACAGGCGCCCACCACAACGCCCAGCTATTTTTTGGTTGCATCCGTCACTGTTGTTTGGTGGGCCCGGGCTGGATTCGAACCTGCCACCTTAGGTGTATGTGGCTGGAGCCAGTTTCTGAGTTAACAGAAGGAAGGAAATTCCTGTGGCAGTCAATCCTTCATAGGCAGGAGAAGCAAATAAGTTTCTTTAGTTTTTTTAGAGACAGAGTCTCACTCTTTTGTTTGCAGTGGTGTGATCACAGCTCACGGCAGTCTTGAACTCCTGGACCCAAGCAATCCTCCTACCTCAGCCTCCTGAGTAGCTGAGACTACACCACCATGCCCATAGAAAGCTATGAAAGCTTTCTAAATAAAGTATGCCTAACAGAAAGGGAGGACAGAGGAGAGTATGAAAAGTATCAAGGTCAGGAGATATTTTAGAGAAAGCTCAAAACTTTTATATACAAAGAGGAGGAAGGAGCAAAGAAGAGACTAAAGATATAATCAAAAGCAGGAGTAACTGAGAAAATTCCCAGTATTCCCAAAGAAAGGAAGTGTTAAAATAGGCAATAGGAGAGGGCTTGGATTAGGGGCAAAAAGGCAACTGTGTAAACAAACCTGAAGGCTAGTTGATAGACAATGTTTTTGAAATAGCTCTGATTTCTAATAATTTATTATAGATAGGTTACTTGTAACTACTGCATTCTGGGCCTTCACATATGCTGGTGAGTCCTCACTCTGAGGTGTCAGATTAATAAATGACACTTGTGTTAGGAGGTCTTCCATGACCCTGACCTACATGAGTTCTCTTTAATATTAGTGTCCATCACATCCTGAGATTTATAATTACCTACCTGAGCCTCTTATTTTCACTAACAAAGACTATAGATTCTATGAGGCCAAGAGACTGGTCTGTCCTTTTCACCACTTATCCTCAGCGCCCAGTTTAGCAACTAACGAAAGTAGAAACTCAAATATTTGTGGAAAAAATGAATATGCACAAAGCAGGGGACTACTTTGATTTAACATAGCCCACAGACCTAAATACCGTGTTTCTCTGAAAATAAGACCTACCCAAAAAATAAGCCCTAGCAGGATTTCTATGCATTTGTTAAATATAAGCCCTACCCCAATAATAAGACCTAGTGATGGGCATGGCTATGCAGCGTATCTGCATAGCCATGCTATGCATTTCGGCGTGGAGAGGAAGACATCCCCTCAAAATAAGCCCTAGTGTGTCTTCTTGAGAAAAAAGAAATATAAGACAGTGTCTTATTTTCAGGGAAACACGGTAGTAGGAAAAGAAGAAAGATTGGGAAGAAGAGAAAATAATTAGTAATTAAATATAAGCCCAAGCTTAAATATAGCCCACATGATGATCAAGAATATCAAATGATGCCAGGCACAGTGGCTCACACCTATAATCCTAGCACTCTGAGAGGCTAAGGTAGGAGGATCACTTAAGGCCAGGTGTTTGAGACCAGCATGACATAGGGAGACGTGACCTTTACAAAAAAAATACAAAAATTACATTGAGTGCAGTAGCATGTATATGGAGTCCCAGCTACTCAGGAGGCTGCAAGAGAAGGCTCTCTTGAACCCAGGAATTTTAGGTTATAGCGAGCTATGATGACACCATTGTACTCTACCCCAGGCAACACAGGAAGATGCTATCTAAAAAAAAAAAAAAAAAAAGACCCTACATATATACACACACACCCCTTAAAGGGGTAAATGTATATACTAAGGAAAACTCTATGAAGTACCCTGAGTAAAGGAGAGATGTTTATGTAAATTGAGCTAAGTGCTCTGTGGAAGGAACAGCTGTACTTTGAAGATTAAGTTCTTTACCAATTTCTTTTGTTTCAGGTTTTAGATTTCATCAGTTGTGAAAATTCAGTTACTAAGCATGGTCTTTTAAGGAGGTTATGTTGGCAGACATGTATTTTACTGTGTTAACAAATTCACCCTTAAACTGGTGTGGATAAAAGCCACAACATGGTACAAAGGAAAGAGAAGCAGCCTGAATGAATTAACCCACTAGGAACAAAACAAAGAAAAAGAAACAGAAATGCAAACCTTTCCCAAGGTTTAGGGGAGAATTTTGGTCATATAAAAAGTTTTCTACTTTGCATTCATCCCGACAATACATCAGAAAGAAATTATTGAGAGGGGAGGGGAGGGGAGGAGAGGAGAGGAGAGAAATCAGGAGGTCTTATTTGAGGAAGGGAAGGATGAGAAGGTTAAGTATATTCATTCTTCCACAGGGTGGTGAAAAGTCATTTGTGCAAAATACAGGAAAAAATTATTAGCCAAGACTTCAGAGTAACACTTTTTCAGGTCAGTCACTGGCTTGAAGGAGTGGCTCACCAGTATTTCAGGATGTGAGAGGAGTCAGGAAGAACAGAAGAAAGAAAAGTAAACAGTTTAAAAGTAGGATAAGCAAGAAAAAGAAAAGTTAACAATTTATAAACAGTTTTTTTTAAAGCTTCAATTTTAAAAAATCCAAGTCAAAAACAAATGTTCATAAGATTATAGACCTTGTAACCTTCCTTCTATGTTACCACCATACCAAAGGCTCCAGAATAATAACAGTGGATTACAGGTGAAAGAGCTACAAGACACAGCCTCTCTGTGAAGAGGGAACCCCAAAGTCAAAAGGAGAAACAAAGACATCATAAAAATTTGAAAACTTTAGCACCTATGGCCAGCATTAAATGCTGTTGAACTTCTAGTCACGTTACAAAAAACAAAAACAAAAATAAAGCCCCCCAAAACCCCATCATACAACATAGTCCTATTTATCTCAGTTTCTACTTTGATATATCATGTTCAGCTTTCAACAAAAAGAAGACATGCAAAAAGCAAGAAAAAGACATGATAAAAAGAAAGAAAAAAATAAAGTCCAAAGAAACTTGGCAAGCTTTAAAACCAGGTTCAGACATTTGATATAGATATTGGAATTATTAGTGTGGGTATTTAACTATGTAACATGGTAAGGGTTCTAATGTAAAGAATAGACAACATCCAAGAATAGCTGGGTGATGTAAGTGGAGAGATGGAATCTCTAATAAAGAATTAAAAAAAAAAAGACTCAAAAATACTATAAATCAAAACCATAAAAAATGAAGAATACATTTTATGGGCTCATCAGTAGACTGGACGTGGCTGAAGAAAGAATTAGTGAGCTTGAACATAGGTCAATAAAAAATTCTTAAACTGAAATGCAAACAAAATGAAAGAAAAAAAAAGCACAGCACATACAAGAACTGTGTAGTAGTATCAAAAGATACAACATACACAATAACTAGGATACCAGAAGGAAAACAGAGAAACAGAAGAAATACTTTACATAATAATGGCTGAAAATTTTCCAAAATTGATGACATACATCAACCCAGGATAAATACCAAAAATCTCTACTTAGGAATATTATATTCAAACTGCAGAAAACCAAAGGTAAAGAGAAAATAGCTTGAAAAAAGTCACAGGAAAAAGACATCTTACTTACAGAGGGACAATGTTAAGAATTACAATAGACTTCTTATCAGAAACCATATTAGCAAAAAGAGAATAGAGTGAAATATTGAAAGTGTAGAGGGTCAGTGACAATCCCTAGAATTCTAGATCCAGTGTAATTATCTTCTAATAGTTAAGGAAAAATAAAGACTTCCCAGGGCCAGGCACGGTGGCTCATGCCTATAATCCTAGCACTCTGGGAGGCAGAGGCAGGTGGCTTGCTTGAGCTCACAAGTTCAAGACCAGCCTGAGTAAGAGCAAGACCCCATTTCTAAAAATAGCCAGGCATTGGGGCAGGCAACTGTGGTCCTAGCTACTCAAGAGGCTGAGGCAAGAGAATCACGTGAGCCTAAAAGTTTGAGGTTGCTGTGAGTTATGGCACCACAGCACTCCACACAGGGCAACAAATTGAAACTATCTCAAACAAACAAACAAACAAAAAAAGACTTCTCCAGACAAACAAAAAAAAGTGTTAAAAGTTCTTCAGGGAGGAGAAAAATGATATAGGTTAAAAACTCATATAAAAGAAAGGAAGAAAATTGGATAAGCAATAAATGAAAGTAAAACTGCATTAAAATTTTATTTTTCTTATTCTCAAACTATCTAAAAGACACCTGTTTAAAGTAACAATGTATTGGATTATAGCATTTGGGTAAATGAAATGAGTACAAACAGCATC